TTATTTTGAGCCACTCATGTCATGTGGTCTGCTAAAAAGGCTGACATATAGAGACCGATACAGTTGTTTCGACCTTGCACTATCGTCAGTCAGGCAGTTACCCTTTCTCGTCTTTTGCCAATCCTGTGTGGGCGCTCCCTCCCCACACTAAGAGTTAGCGACGACGAACGTTTTACACTAAATGTCTAGTGAAATTATCACCGAACACAAAGTGTTGCACACTCGATTGTTCTTGGCTAGTATCTATAATATATCAAATTTTTCGTTTCGAGAGTTTTCTTAGGACCACAACTTATCTCAATATGCCTGATAATCATTATTTGAGCCACGCATGTCAGTGGTCTATTGAAGAGGGCTGACTTATAGAGCCCAATACACGTGTTTCAATGTTGCGATCTCGTCAGTCGGGCAGTTATCCTTTCTCGTCTTTTGCCAATCCTGTGTGGGTGCTCCTAAAGACGAGGAAGGGTAACTGCCCGACTGACGAGATCGCAAGATCGAAACACGTGCATCAGGCTATATGAGTCAGCCCACTTTAACAGGCCGCATGACATGCGTGGCTCAAAAATGATTATTTGGCATATTGAAATTTAAGCTGTGGTCATCAGAAAACACACGAAACAAAAGATATGATATATTAGGTATACTAGCTAAGAGCAATCGAGTGTACAAAACTCTGTGTTTGGTGATAATTTCACTGGACATAAAGTGTAAAACGTTCGTAGTCGCTAACTTTCAGTGTGAGGACTGGAGCACCCACACAGGATTGGCAAAAGACGAGAAAGTGTAACTGCCCGACCGACGAGACTACAAGGTCAAAACACGTGTATCGGGCTCTATGAGTCAGCCCTTTTCAACAGATCACATAACATGCGTGGTTTAGAAATGATTAGTTGGCAATTACAAAATTAACTGCATTATAGCATTGTCTTAAACTGCAATTACTTTTGCTTTGAACCTCTAAGTATTCTCAAGTGCGAAAAACGGTTCTTCTCTTTCAAAATCTTCCACATTAATTTGCTTTGATGACTCATTGAAGGATTGCGCTTGGTATGGCAATAAAGGTTCACAGTTAATCTGTAAAACCTTTGGATAATGAGCGTCCAAATCGTGTGCTCCGTGTCAACCAAGCGAATGCCAGCCACATATGTAAAAATTTTGTTAAGTTCAGCTGCATTACCATGCATGTTCACTTCCAGATTATAATTACTACGCTGTCGCTTAGGAAAGACATCATTGCAGGGTGAAAAAAGTCATGTAATTTCTCGATTCGTGACTGATGTCTAAGTGTGCACGACTGTATTATTTAACTAAACTAAGTAGCGCAGTATGAGCTAGTTAAAAAACCTTTGTATATATCAATCACAAAGACGTACCACAAATTGCTCACTACTCGTACTAAAGAACAAGTTGATGTTTGGACACATTTTATTTACATTAAATAATGGTTTTCAGTGATGATGATGATGTCTCACATTAGTGATACCGTTCTCCCAAATGAAATTGGTACCAATTCATCGACCTTGAAAGAATAAAAGGCTTTGAAGTTGCTGAACCTCAGATTGAAGCAAAAGTATCAGTATAGCAGAACGCCTTCAATTATCACGCTACACATGCCTAGCTACTATTATCTCTTTCAAAGGTGTCATGCTGAGAAATGATGTTTATACAAAACAATTTCTGAAGTTCTACTAAGCGGCTCTTACATAGAACATATGGATAACATTCAACAAGAGGCGATTAGTTTGTTTACCTTTTAAACATAGTTGCTCAATAAGTCACGAAGGAACAAGTCGAGTATAAATCATAAGAAAAAGCGAAATTTTAGTAAACTCGATTGCTAACCTGGATCACGTGGTAATCGCCATTTACTCTTCGTGTCTTCATGAGCTATGTCTGAAAGCTGAATAAAGTGATCACCTCTTGTTTAAATGTATTTATATGTTCTATGTGAGAGCCGTTTCGCAAAGCTTCGGAAATTCTTCGGTGTTGCTAGAGCCTTTCCAGGACTCCAAAAACAATGAATCGGTCGAAATTTTATATCTACTTACACATAATGCACAATACAGTTGGAAAACGAAAGGCATATCGATTAAGGAGGAACGGTTTCCAAGAATTTTTGCGTTACCCACACGTTCGGTGTGCTACGCTTTGCAGTAACAGTCATTGGACTTGGTTGTGAGGGAGATGATGTTATGATCGGAACAACTGGCTTATGCATGATGTTTAAGATTGTGGGTCATAACAAACGACCCCTGTGCCTTTACACGACGACATATTTGTTGTTGAAGGCCTACATCTATAGACTGGCAAATAGAATCTTTTATATTTTCAATAAGTGCCATAACAGACCTCACGAAAGGCTTGAGATATGCTGTCAAGATGCATCAATTTCAAGCAAAGATTTAAGAAACAGTCGATCTTATAGATCAATTTTGGTCTACCAGCCGAAATCTACCGACTGAACAGTGGTGATGGACCAGTTAGAACCAAGAGTGTTATTGTACACTATGCCATCACCACCTTAATGTGGGCTAGGGGTCACTGACATAGAAACCAAAACCTCCGAAACACCGGTGTATGACCCTGGCGTACCAGCCTCATACACATTCGTTGCTAATTCTCCTAATACTTTTGTTTATATTATAAACGGCATAGAACAATAGACTTCTCAAGCAAGACTAAAGGACGGAGGTACTAGCACGGCGATGGGGTCCCGTGCTGAGAACGATGAGACGATATATCAGATGCTCAGGCGGCGGGTCAAAGGCCGGCTGCGGTCGATCATTTGAGGCCAGTCCACTGCACCGCTCGGTTGTCCTCCTCGTTCCTTGTCGTTTCTTTCTCATATTGCCTATTTGTTATTAATTTAATGTTGCTTGCGACCCAACGTAACCCCGAAGGACAAAACATGGCTTACGACTTTTCGGGCACGCATCTCATAGGACATAGAGTTACTTACCACCTTCTTATATGATCATCGATTGGATGTTGCTCCACTGACAATGGTCATTGCAAGCTCGTTCAATGAAGGCGAGCAGAATAGGGAAGGTCATGGGCGACTTACCGCCGGGGCACAGGTATCAGGCTCTTGATATTGGTCTTGACCATATTATGCTGACGCAGTCACGACATCTATAATATGCACGAGTCGAAAGCCTGCATACCATCCCGAGGTTTCGTCTTTCCGAGGTAGCCATGGTAATTCCACAAGCCCCTGTTTCCTGGTCGTTGCTTGAAAACCCTCTTGTTAGCTGAGATAACGCTCGTGACTGTCAGCTGATTGTCGTTCCTCGTCTTCACGTGTTCATGACGTGTCGAATAAATCACTATGTGAAACCCAGTCACGATCGATCGAACTGCGACAGTTCATCGATCAAATCAATTGCTTTTTTACGTAATACACTATTGAACCGTTATTTGTATAGTTTATGTATTATTACTTAATATTTTTTATTTCAGGTTGTTTTCTTTTGCTCTAAAAATAAATAAACCGCGTGGCAGGCTCCTTCCGCGCACTAACGCTGAGTACTACGACAACCGAGCAAAGTATTCTCTACTCAAATCAGTATAATCCTTTATATGTACGAGACACCCCACTATAAGGGACTGGCTCAAACAGAAGGCACCATATTACTGACGAGGCTGGAAGGCCGAATATGCTACCAGGTAAATGTTCTTCTTTTGTTATTACGTAGAAATATTTTTCTACACAGTACTGCACTTCAGCTGCTAACCACGCGCAGCATGAGAACTATCATCAAACTTTTTCTAATTAACCATTTCTAGCGGTGCAATGATGTTTCAAAAGATACCCATTGATGAAGAGTGATGTACAAAACTTTTGCGTCAGGCGGGACTAAAACCCGCACCTCATCTTTCCAGGAATGCGTGCTCTATCCGCTACACTACTGACGCCCATTTTGCACATCACTCTTTTCACGCTACCGCGCATCTATCTGTCAGCCGCCAGCCGTCAACGGCCTAGCCCGTGTAGTCGGTCTCGACATGGAACCCAGTCACGCTGACAGATATTGCGTAGTGAAGATCAAGCAAAATTCTTTTTTCTAACCGCTTCTAGCGGTGTTATGATGTTTCAAATAGACACAAATAAACAGACAGTAGATAGACTAAATAGATAATAGATATAATAGATTCAAATAGATGCGCTGTAGCGTAAAAAGAGCGATGTGCAAAATGGGCGTCATTAGTGTAACGGATAGAGCATGCATTCCCGGAAAAAGTGAGGTGCGGGTTCTAGTCCCGGCTGGCGCGAAAATTTTACACATCACTTTACATTAATGAGTATCATAAAACTGTCACCGTGCTTCTTGTATTCAAGATGATATTGGATCAGTTTTACTGATTGGCTCCTACCTGTATTAGAGTTTTGATGTCTTGGATCTCAAGGTGAATGTGAAAAAAGGACAGCTCTTCTAGAATTCTTCTCTCCCTTCGCATATGTGGATCTTTCCTTAGAGCTCGAAACGATCGGATTTTCTTGTTTGATTAACTGAAGCAGACTAAACAGAACTCTTGAGTCCTTTGACAGGCACCACGTCTTCCTTGAACCGTCTTCTTCATTTTGCGAGTCATGTTAAGATAAGATTTCGTCTGGAATATTCTCGTCATATACAAGTGACTTTTTACTTCGTAACGATGTGAATTTTTTTCGTCTTAAGCCCAGAATATTACGCGAGGGAGTAATGGTCGGATACGGTATAAATGATAAGACTACAAATGTGTCGAGTAGGTATCATTTTCTGTTTGTAGGCTAACGCGACCCATTGCCGCATGTGTTGTTCCGTTACTTGGCTTCCACGTGCAGCGTTGGCTATCTTTCTTCTGAGTAAGACAATTTCCAAGAAAAAGGCAAGCTGTAAGCAGGAGTCCTCCTGCGAAAACAGTCTCATTCTGACTTATTATTTCATTCAAGTTTTCCACTCTGGAGAAAACTGTCGTTAGTATAACTATGAGAATTTAGTGGTGAGCAAAAACACGGCCTCAACAGGCTGGAATCGAACCCGCGTTTCGTCCTATTCGGGGACGCGTGCTCTACCACTACACCACCAAGGCACATTTGCCCGACCACTCATTCTTCAACATCTCTATGTATCATATATAGCAGTGGCTATCAGCTTAACGGGATTTATGTAGCGAAATCGCATATCCGACTAAACCTGTTAAGGTTGGTGGCTGATCGCTAACATAGAGATGTTGAAAAATGAGTGGTCGGGCAAATGTGCTTCGGTAGTGTAGTGGTCTCAGTATTTCTTTATTATAAAATAAAAGTGAATAATCGCTCCTTTTGCTGGATAAGAACTTTTCATAAGAGTGCCAGTAATCATTCGAAAGCTTGAACCTCTAGCTAGAGCTGTATGTGGCTGGTTTTTAAAACACCTTCTCTAACGCTGTAAAATCCCAGAACAAAGTTAATGTTTCACACGACTGCGCGTTTTTTTTTTCCTGATCTCGCTAAGATTCGCTGGACAAAACTCCTTTCTTAGAGAGCTAATACTCCTTCAATAGCACAGGTCTCGAAAAACTCAAAATTGTGTTTGCTGTTTTGAAAAAGGTCTTTTGACAGCATTGTGAGAGAGGAGAAAGAAAACGTTCATGTTCTACACATCGCTGGGAAAGGCTCTTTATTTAGACTATTAGTACTCGTTCGATAGCGTAAGAGTCAAGGATTCCAACGCTGTACACATTTTGCAAAGACCGTTCCACTAAGTGTATCAGGGAAGGTAAAATTGATTAACTAACAACGCGATCATGTGTTCGTTGGCCAATTCATGAGCCGTGGGCCGAGTCGGCAAGGGCAGCGGGCGCGGTCGTCCATCCGTTTTTTAAAATCAAAGTGATGTTTGTGTTCAGTCATAAATTGTTTGTACTTTGAAAGAAGCTTTCAAATCAAACATCTGACTCTGATACTATGACATGTTCTTCTAAATGATAACTGACACTCCCATAAGAGATCTTGTTCAACGAATGAGCCGTTTGCTTATTTGTCACTTAGTAGACAAGGACAACAATTTCCATGGTGTGTCGTGTGCACGTTCATCAGATTCGGTTCCCGCGATATCCCGTCTATTCAAAAATTTTAAATCTCTCGTCTGTCGTGTTGCTCATGACACCATTGATGGGAGCTAGTTTGCCGAGCAGTGAGGCTCTGTCGGTCCTGGTTATGCAGTTTAATCTTTCCTGGACTACTGACCCAACGTAACAGAACATTTTCAGACCGCAATAACGCTACCATGGACTGGTTACTGTACTTTCTATTCACGGCATGCATAACTTAGCATTTTGATTGCTGCAGATATTGCAGGAGAGATGTGAAGATTGGCAACGGGCCAACTCCGCGTGGCGGGACCAACCAACCGCGAATGCGCCGCGGCCACATCAGCGCGGTCACGTCAGCGCGGTCATCGCAGCGACAAGCGACACGCGCTGACAATTAACCCGCATTTATCCTTCATCACCCACCTCTAACGGTCGGTTCATTTTCTACTTATTTCATATCATTCAGTTTTTCAATAAGTGTCAATCCTCCAATATACGTTGATAGTCACTATCATATGGTATCATTTATTCCTTGTTTTCATGATATTGTGATCTGTGCCATTGAATTTCGCGGCGGAGCACGTTGATTTATTGGGAGCGCGGCGATATATATATATATATATATATATTATATATATATATATATATAATCTAGCATATATATAGTATATATAGCATATATATAACATTTTTTTATCAATCTACAGCTTGAAAAATGGCGATTCTCGTACTAGGTTTATTTATTAGAAACAAACCTTCTTGTTATGTTGTAGTACGTGAAAATAGAATTACGCTTTACTTTTGGACGAAGTAGACCGTTCTTTTGATTTTACACTGGCTTCCATGATACTTGCACTCAAATTTCAAACAGAATTCATTTTATTTGACGGCGTATTGCGGTGGTATGATGTTACAATATATCCAGTAGTGTAGAGTGGTTTGCAAAAACGTTTGCGTCAGCCTGGATTTAGACCCAGATCTCACCCTTTCGGCAGCGTGTGCTGAACCGTTGCGCCACCGACTCTCGTTTTGTTCATCACGCTCATATCGTTGTCTTAAAGTGTTTTCTCAAGATCACGCTCAAATTTCAACATATCTCATAATTTCTATTTGAGCCAATTTGTCATGTGGTCTGTTAAATTGGCTCTTGCACAGCCCGATACACGTGTCTCGACCTTGACAGTCTCGTCAGTCGTGCAGAACCCTTCGTCTTTGAGCCAATCCTCTGTGGGTGCTCCGTTCCTCACACTAAAAGTAAAAAACGTCGAACGGTTTACATTGCACTACTGTAAAGTGGAAATAACTAAAACAGCAGTTCTGTGCACCGATTGCTCTTGGCTGGTATTTTGAAATATATTATACCGCTCTTTTCGAGTGCTTTCTTAAGATCATGTTCAAATTTCAACGTATGTCGTAAATGCTATTTCTGCAATATTTCAACAATCGAAAAAACGGTGTAATTTATCTCATAATGCTAGCCAAGAGCAATCGAATTTACAAAACTGCTATTTTAGTGATTTTCGCTTGACATCAGTGCGATGTGGTTCTGCCCGACTGATGCAACTGTCAGATAGCAATTATGAAATACATATATACACATACACATATATGCATAGAGTGCGAAAAAGGTCCCGATAATTTTCCGGATATTTCAACAGTAAGAACACGTTGCAGCTACAAATGAGTCCATTCAATCGAGTGAATATTTACTGTTAGATCGCAATTGTAACAGCGAGCATTAAAGTTTCTAGTAAATTCACAAAATTGCCTCTTCTGCTCTCTACATATTTACCGAGTCGCTCGCGAAAATTCCAGTGATGCTCATACTCGTTATCACCGTAATTTCGTCGCCTCGAACATGTTTCACAGCCGTTTTAAGCGCGTCTACGGTAGTGTAACGAGTAGCCGAGACTTTTTCCCACAGTATGCACCACTTAGGGTAATCCGCTGGGTTAAGATTTGGCGAGTTTGACCATCAAATTTCCTTTCCCCAAAACAGTAGAAACATCTCTTGAGAGATGATAATCGTTGAGAGGGTCGAATGCGCACTGAAGCATAAATCCTTTGGCACCAAATTGCTGAGTAGTCCAATGTTCCAGTGCGCCCTCGTATAATTTGCTGCTGATAGCTGGCGGCGTTTATTTAAAAGCTTGTGTTGATGAAGACCAACGGCGTCTTTCCAGTAGCCCAAATGCCGGCCCAGACCATCATAGAGGCCGAAAAATGACTGCGACCCATGGTTTTTGCTACTGAAGACTGCTTTATCTTTTAGCAGGAAGTGAACACAAGCGACGTTGTAGCGGCGCACTTCAGCTTATTTCTACAATGTTTCGCGCGCTCCACTCTCTCATCCCGAGCTTCTCGAGCCATTTTGCGCACCAAACACTCCGAATTTCCATGAACTTGGCAGCGATCTTTTTAATGCTTTCCAAGGTGGACAAGGTGGTTGGTCGGCCTTTGCGAGAACGATTCCCAATCCCTCCAATCTCCCCGAACCGTTTCACGGCTTTCTAAACATTTGCTGATTTGAGAGCAATCGATATTAACAATGTCGGATGTTTTCATTCCATCTTATGCAACTCAACAACTGTGATACGTCGATTTTTACGATCCATAACTCGAACATACCCGAAAATAGTAGGTAACTAAAACATGTTTCGAACCAAAAATGTACAAAGAATTCAGTAAAATTGTTAACATTGATAGAAAAATTAAATTGAATGCTAAAATGAACAAATACAAATTTGGCAAAGCTTTTCTGGCAACCTTATATATGTATATGTATATATGCATGTGCATACTTATATACATTTATCGGTAGGTAGATATATATGTACAAGTTGTTGAATAGTGTAGAGTATAATGTAGCGTAGTATGTGATATCCTTTTCGATGATCCAGATATAAATCTCCTCACCGCATTCAAAACACACGTTAAGAAGATCTGCCGTATTCTGAAAGGTACAGAAACAATCTCAAGGGCTAAATAAAATAACAGTAATTAGAAAGAATCAAAACAAACTTCACGTCAGAATACTGAATAAGCTGCTGTGGCGGCGAACTGACATATAATTGGTAAAGGAGCAAAGACGCAAAAACTCTCTTGTGATCAGGGGAATAAGGAAAGCAGAAAACTTAAATGCACTTGTTGGTGATTGTTTACTTCTGCGTGAAAGGCGAAAGGCCGGAGGGTAGGGAGTGATCGTCATTCACAGGGTTTTTTATGGGTATTCTTCTATTGGTAATTCTGGTGATGGACAACGATTTCTCAAAAGGGTGATCGTTTTTCATGTTTGATCTATGCGAGATTGCTTTTCCTTGTAGTTCGAGTGGTACACGTTTAGCTGCTCCATTTCGTATTTTCTAATCGACAAAATTCAAAATTTTCACTCCAACAACTTTTACTTTTCTCTTCTTGTTGATTATACCATTCTTCGGCTGTTTATATGGATATTTCGGTATCTTGGGATTTATTGACCAATCCTATTTTATCGAAAGAACTCTTTGCAGTTTTGTATTTGTTTTTTCTATGGTTTTCTGAACGTAGGATTTTCCAGTATTTCTTTAGTGAATAGAGCAACAGCTTAGTCATAAGATAATCGATCCATGGTGTTCCCAAAGAGAACGTCCGGAAATCGATGTCGTTGGGTACGCGAAAAGATTTATTTAGTGCTTTTCATAGAATAGAAACCACCCTCACTAGTTAGGACTTTACCCTTTGGCGTCGGTTTTCTTAATTTTTTTCCTTTTCTTATTCTTTCTTGGACATAAGTGGCAGATATTTGAAAGCTTTAAGTGATTTACAGAACGTTCGACATCAGCCCGGAAGTGAACCCAGGGTGCTTGCTACCACTGCATCACCAAGGCGACCGCTGCTACCAGTGTTCCTTCAAGATATCCTATCGTAGCTGATCCTAGACGGGTTTTGCCGGGTAAGCACATATCGACATCAAACCCACCTATTTAGACAGGATATATTGAAGAAAGTGTGGTGGCAGAACGGTGACCTTCATGGTG